GGCAGGGGTTGCCCCGAGAGGGGGTGGAGGCCCCATCCCGGGGAACATTCCAGGCCAGGTTGGATGGGGCTGTGAGCAACCTGCTGTGGTTAAAGGTGTCCCTGCTCCTGCAGGGGGGTTGGGCTGGGTGAGCTCTAGGGGTCCCTTCCCACCCAAAACATTCTGTGATTCTATGAAGATGCCAGCAGAGCAGACAGGACCATGGAGCCGCTGGGGGCCAAGGGCAGCCCTGGTGTCGGTGGCCCCAGTCAGTGAGCTTACACCACGGCGCTGAGCTGGTCCTGCCCGTAGCGGCACAGCCCAGCAGACACGCAAACACAAACTACTGGCAAAGCAGCCATGGGCCAAAACACATTCATCAAACTCCTTCCTTCTCCTCCAAGTTCAGAGGCTACACAGACGCAGCCAGGACCCAGATCCCAGCAGCACTTGCCTTTGGGAGTTCCTTTTATTCCCAAGGGCACAACACAAGGATCTCTCCTGGTTAAGCATCAAGGGGCTGCACAGCACCACTGTGTTTCCCTTGTTTCAAACCCGGGGGCTGGCACAGGCTGGCAGTGTTCCCTGGGCACCAATGCGCTCCCATTGCCAGGGCCAAAACCAGGGGCTTGCCTTTACTCTCGCCCTCCCACAAAGGGACAAGGTCATCATTCCTGTCTGGGGAGGATCAACCCTCCCGCCTCCGCACAGCCATCGCACGCCGAGGCAGCACTTGAGCACCACGAACAAAACTGAAGCAGGCACTGAATATTTCGCACCCCGGGGTTGATTTTTTTAAAGGGCCTCAGGTGCCAATTACCACTGAAGGCAACAGAAGTTGGTGCTTAAACTCCCACTGAACTTTGGAGCCACAAGGAAGCGTTTTGTCAAAGCAGGACCTGAAGCTCCAGCTGTGACTGGGGCAAGGCGGGATGGAGGGATGAACCTGTGCTTGCAGAGATGGGAAGCACATGCCTGGAAACCCCCTGGGCAAAGCCAATGATTTCACGGTGCAGAAGTACCCTGCCAGGGGCAGGGCATCCACGGCGTGAGCCTGGGCAATGGCCCTGGACCCCCTGCCCCTTCCCTCCATAGCCCCCATGAGCGCTCCCACCCCAGTGCCGGGTCCCCAGGGCACAGCCAGGGCAAGGTGACACCGTCAGAGCAGGGAGAGATGCAGCAAGGGACTGGAGAGATGGCAGGCTTGGAGACTACGGCTGTATTAACAGCAGAATTAGTTTAAAAAAAATTCATTTCCAGGCAGCGTGAAACTACGTTTTGGGGGAAAGGGTTTCCAGCAAAGTAAAAAATTGAAACCACTTCACTTGCAGTCGAGCAAAACACTGTTTTCAGGCCAATTAACCCATGGAAAAGAATTATTGCTGTAGTGGTACTGCTTCATTTAGAAAACAGAGCAAGAAAATCTTTGGACTTTTTGGAATCTCTTCCTCCTCTTCCCCTCTCATTTGACCCAAATTTGCTTGATGAGTTCGCTGCAGACGTTTGCTCGGCTCTCCCAGCGGATCTTGGAGCCAACTGGGGCACCCAGGGGCTGGGAATTCAGCCGGCAGCTCCTAATGGCATCTTCCCTCTCCCCATCCCGGCATCCACAGCACCCGCTCGCCAGCCCCGTGCTGTCGCACTCAGTAAAAGCCCTTCACTCGCTTGTTGTCCGGGTCAAACGGGGACTTGGTGTGTGCTCGGGCAGGGTAGCTCACTCCCATCCGCTCCAGCTGGTAGCTGCCGCTCTTCACAAAATCCAGCGAGACCTGCAAGGCAGAGCCGTGCTGAAACCCCCGACAGGGGCTGCGAGCGGCGGGGCACCGGCGGGGCACCAGCCCCCTGCCAGCATCCCCGCTCCATCACTGGGCCAGCCCCCACACCACCCCGCAGATCTGCTTTCTGCAGAAAACCCAGCTCTGCCATCCCAGGAGGATGCACGGAGAGGAGGAAAACAGATTTTTAAAAGCACTCAGCTAAAAAAAAAAATAAAAAGAATGCAGTATTTAAAATTTTTTGAGTGTGGGTTTTTTTTTTTTTTTCCCTGTGGATTTTTTCAATGGCACTCAGTGCAAGGTGCACTTGCAGCCAGGCTGTGGGAGCTCATTGCCAGAGGGGCCAGGGCAAGCAGGCTGGGTGGGGGGATGGTGCACCCAAACGGGGTCAGCCTGGCTGTGGGAGGGGACCACGGTCACAGCCAGGATGTCACCGCTTGGCACTGGAGCATGGGCTGTCCCCTCCGCCCGTGGGGCTCACCCAGAACCAGGCAGTGCTGGCGGCTGGGACACCCCGGTGCAGGGAAGGGCTGGGGGCTCTCGATGCCGGTGTGTTTTTACCACCTGGAAATTGTCAGTTATTCAGCAACAAGCAGAATTTTTGTTTCCCTCCTCTCCGCCTCAGCCCCTTCTGCTCCTCTGACTCTAGCCCCGATGCTGCAGAGACATCCCCATCCCAGAGCATCCCAGGACCCCCTTCCCAGAGCTGGGGAGCATCACACTTGGTCGCTGAGGGGCCATATCCATGGGAAGGGAACCAATGGGCCACATGGAACATGGCCAGGCCCTGAGCAGCTGTGCTGGGCACCCTGCTTCCAGGGAGCTGCTAAGAGGGAGGGCTCCGTGTGCCCTCCTCCAAGGGCCCAGGGTCAGCGTGGGGTCTGGGTCCAGCACTGAACCCCTGACGGGGGTGGTATGAACAGGGTCCTGGTGCAGGTCCCCCAAGCCACCTCCCCTCCCTGCACAGCAAAGCTCCCGGCTCCTTCTGCAATAACTGCCCAGACCGAGCAGGAATTACCCCAGGGAGCAGGGAGATGAGGGCTGCACAGTAACATGGGCTGCACAAGCCAGCCGGCACGGCCACGCAAAGGCACCGGCAGGGGTGGGGGCCCCCCAGCGCCACAGGCC